ACTCTAAATTGGATCGTTAAAAATAATATTAATAATGTATTAATATAAAGTATTAAAATTGATGTATAACTAAAATGTATCCTGCATAAAAGCATAATGACAAACATAGACTACAAACTAAAATGTAAAATGTTCATTGCAAGTAACATATGAAGAATGCTCTCCATATTTTTTTCTCTCGAAAGAGTCCTACATTTTTGTGTTGCGCTTCCTGTGCTTTTTCTGAAAATTGGCCTATAGGAACCATGAAATGTTTGATAACATCTACTCTGTAAATTCGAATTTTATTGGAGACATGTAGTACTAGTTATAGTTTCCGCATTTAATCAAAATCTGGAAACTAAAATAAAATTTTAATTAAATAAATTATTAAGTAAATTAAAATCAAATTAAAATTAAATAATTAAGTAAATTAAGTTATGCTTGAGGCCAGCTTTGAGTATGAAAAACTTTTGCGGGCTGTGTTGCCATCGTTGGTCGTATCAAATCCTGCTTTTGGCGTATCCACAAGTAATTTCATTTTTTTATATAATCTTACTTGCTATTAATTTATTCCTATCGGGTAGGATTTAAGAAAATATTTAGGGAAATATTTTAATCCACGTATGTCAAGTGAATATTCCATAGGACAAAGTATTCATATTAATATTTGTATTGCAATGGTGATCTAAATTATTCATTTGTGAAGGTTTCTCCTAACAAATAAAACAGTGGGTTGCCTGTTAAATAACCACTGATATTATCATGGTAAAGTGAACAATATGATTTACAACGTATTCTATCTCATTTTGATTAATTATAGTAGAAAGGAGAGATGCAAATTGCTCCTGAATGTTGGCTATCTCTTTTTTAACTAATTTCTCGGTTTCCTTCTTGAACGTGATTTTTAATAGCCAGCATTGTCGATGAAAAACGAGAATTGTGCCACATAATATTTTTAGACGAATCAACGATTTACAATGATACAAAGGAGACGACAAACGTAGAAATTGTTGTACTTATTCTCCGTCTCTCGTGAAATACCTTGCTTATATCGACTATGGCCGGCCATCCATCGCATCCCCATTTATACGATGGTGCAAGCTTGCACAGGAACTTTTGTTTTTCTCAAATGTTGCAGAATTTTACATTGCATTTGCAACAGTTTTGTTACTGTGCGATTTATAATTGCTTGCAGTTTAACTTCTGTTGACACGCCAAAAATGTGAACATTTTCTCGATAACAGCGATTTGTTAACTCTGCTACAGTGCAGTGCATAACTACAGCACCACACAATTTCTTTAATGTTTTGGACTTATGGGTTGTAATGCAAGAAAAATAAATTTACAGGATGTTCGGCCACACTTGGGAAAAATTTACATGAGCGATTCTAGAGGTCAAAATAAGACGAAAATCAAGAATACCAATTAGTTGATGGAGGCTTAATTACAAAGTTATTAACGTTTAAAGTTCCGCCTGTAGCATGGCAACCTGCGTACAGCTGCGTTCGCGCGGAAGGTTGCGGCAGGCCAATGCTAGTGGTTCTCACGCAGCATGAAAAATTCTGCTTACCGACATTATCGACAGCCTTAGATTTTTGTTCACTTATGAAAATGCGAACACCTTAGGTTGAATAACATTCAACCTGTCATGAAAATCCAGAAGGGCATGACAAAACTCGCCCGACGAGATTTTCACAGAAAAACGGTAAATGTCACTTCCAATACACAATGTTGTGCACAAAAATCACCAACACGCGATCATACAAGCCCCACGATTGTCCACAGTGTCCGCAAGTGTCGACAAATAATCCTTTCATGCACTAACCACTATGCAATTAAATAAACACGCACCGCGATTATGTTATTCGTGAGTGTCTATGTGTACGTGCACCATGATTGTCCCAAGTTACTTACGAATAGAACTGTTATTAATTTTTCAAATATACTTTACTTTAAAAATGTAAAAAGGAATTTAATAAGTATTCGCTGATTGTTTATATCACTGTATTTCTTACATGCTACTTAATACATACCTGAATGAAATACGTCTAAAATGTGTCGCGTGAACTGTCTTGACTGATATTACGACTGACTAGCTGACCGAACACGTACCGATGCTGCCCTTTGTCTTCGCTGAGTGTGAGTGCATGTGTGTGAGAGAGATAAGCGAGGCGAGTGACGTAGAATCGGGGTCCTGTTCGGTATTTGTTTCTCTGAACCTCGTCGATCGATGGCACAGTCAGCTGCTAGTATCGTTACATTCTTCAACGTGAACGCAAATCTATGCGAAAATTTCATTTGTCCTACGATTCCGTTTTACATTTTTAAATTAAAGTGTATTTTAAAATTAATAACAGTTTTATCGTAACAGAATCGTAATTCACGTACACATAGACACTCACGACTACATAATCGCTGTGCGTGTTTATTTAATTATACAGTGGTCAGTGCCTGAAATGATTATTTGTGAATACTTGTGGACACTGTGGACAATCGTGGGGCGTGTATAATCGCGTGTGGGTGATTTTTGTTCACAACATTGTGTATTGGAACTGGCATTCACCCTTTCTCTGTGAAAATCTCGTCGGGCGAGTTTTGATATGCCCTTCTGGATTTTCATAAGACAGGTTGAATCTTATTCAACGTAAGGTGTTCGCATTCCCATAAGTGGACAAAAATCTAAGGCTGTCGATAATGTCGGTAAGTAGAATTTTTCATGCTGCGTGAGAACCACTAGCACTGGCCTGCCGCAACCGTCCGCGCGAACGCAGCTGTTTAGCGGATTGTCATTCTACAGGCGGAACTTTAAATGTTAATAACTTTGCAACGAAGCCTCCATCAACAAATTAGTATTCTTGATTTTCGTCTTATTTTGGCCTCTACTATCGCTCATTAAAATTTTTGCCATAGGTAGCCGAACACCCTGTATATGTATATGAAAGTCATTCTTTAACATACTCGTCAAAATTATTTAGGATGTTCGGCTAACCCTGGGAAAAATTTTAATGTGAGATTCTAGATGCCAAAATCGGACGAAAATCAAGAACACCAATTTGTTGATGGAGGCTTCGTTAAACAGTTATTAACGTTTAAAGTTCCGCCCGTACTGAATTTTTTGCTCGACAATGCGCAGGATTTCGTGGGTATGTCTATTCACCAAATATGATTGTAATTAACCCCTGCAAACGAAAATAATTTTTCTAGAACGATTTAAAATTTTTTTTTTTCGTCGAAAAATTTAGGCACCCTTGTGAATTTTTGTTAAAAATTCGTTTTTGATTTTTAATAATTTTGTTTGTCGCCCGGCAAAAAGTTGTCTAATACTTTTTTTGTAGATACCCACCAGTTCTACTTCAGAAAAAAGTTTCATTGAAATATATTCATTATTGTTATGGCTGTTTGAAAATTGGACCATTTTTATGGGGTTTTTCTCATTTTGCGAAGTCATAGTGTTTTGTTGGGCTCAAATGTCCTTTGTAACAGAATGTCCCATTCTTAAAATATTTCGCTTCGCGACACAAGGAATAACTTTTCAAATATTTTTGGAATTTCCACATATTTTTCACCAAAATACGCGTTGTTTGCCGTTTGAAACATTAAAATCCTCCAATCCGTTCAGAAGTTATGACATTTTAAAGATTCGACGCTCAACGCCTTTTAAATGATAAAATTCCAAGTATAATAATTTTCTTTAATAATAATTTTTTTTCAATACTAACGCATTCTGGTTTCGGTATCGCAAATAAAAAGTAGTGTCATTTTAACTGAAAGTGAAATAAGAAATATCGTTTAGTTTGTTACATATCATTCATGCATGGGGCTGAAACGTTTGGTGACTTGGGCGTTGGCTCGAGCATCTAGCGAGCAACCCTTTGAACGGGGTTGACTCATGCCGTATGCGCACACCCGGCCCAATTTTCATTGCCTTTTATGGTAATGCCCCGCCTTAGTACTGGGCATTTTCAACTATATAAGGGCCGTGGTTTCTTACTCGGGGAGCTCAGTTTTACCTAAACTCTTGGCACGACGTTACTGTGACACTCAGGGCAAGATCGGGCTATAATCCCCTTCAAGCAACTATCTACGACTATCTACCTTAGCGGTTTATCAGTGAGTGTCCATTAATCGAGTAGAGCTCCCGCGAACGCGCCGCGTTAAAAGCCGATAACGAATCTTTCGCCTTCGAGGCAATTTAGCAATTGTACAACTTCTTGTAAACCCATAGCTGTACTTGAGCATCGTCAAAAATATATATTCAAGTTATTGTTCCTTACGTGTGTTATTCACTCAAGGCAACCCTGAACCATATTAACCGTAAGGCTAGGTGTTCAAATCACATATTCAAAGTCTTGGTGTAACCGCTGGCAGTTTGTCAACACGGTTTGACTTTAGTGTCGTTCCGCGACCACGCCTGAGTCTCGCCGTATTGTTTTTCTTACCCGGCCGGCGAATACGAAAATTTAACCGCTCGCCTCGCTCACAGTCTGTCTGGAAGTGCGAGTCGATTCACACCAAACAATTTTATAAACCAGGAGCTCGTCAGGCTCCTCCCGAAGAGGAAGCGAAGGGAGAAAAATAAAGTACGTTACAAAAAATTGATATACGAACTATCCTCAGTTCAGTGGGCCAGTTTTTTATCCTTCCATCGAATCGGTGTGCTAAACAAAGGCCGAGACGAAACAAAGTGGTCCTTCGAGCCGGATAACCGCTGTGACTGTGTCTGCAAAAGTTCGGTTGTGCTCGCGTACGGAGTTCGGTGTGAGCCATATTAAAATTAAGACTATTGGTTTCTGCCGTGACCTTCTTGACTCGCTCCCCGCTCTACAGTTGGACGGAGACCTGTTAGGACCGTTACAATCCGCTCCCTTCGCGCTGTTTCGTTAAAACTCAAGTTTCAAAAGTGTGACTTTATCCTCTCCACGCCTACCCGCGTGTGTGATTCTAGCGAGGTCATCGCTGAACATTGTTTGATTCTTTGAGGCTAATTACTCGACTCGCGCTCATTTCGAACTATAATCATGGCCGAAAGAGCAGAAGGCCTTTTTATACAGCAAGTCACCACGATTGCCGCGATACGACGAGTGATCGTGAATTATAAGAAACTCCCGAAGGCTCAAGTTTCGTTGGCCAGAGCCAAAAATCGAAAGGAGAATTTGGAGAAACTATGGGACGAATGCCGTGCAACCCACCAGTTGATACTCCAGTCCACCAAAGCGGAGGACCATAAGGGCATCTCCTACTTCAAGGACAACACTTTTCTCGACGCGGAGGACGCCTACTTCGACGCGGAGGACTTCCTCAGCGACGCCATCGCCCAGCTGGACGTCGGTAGTAAAACCCAGTCTGATCAAAGTAACGTTTCTATTTGTCACGATTCTGTTGCCTCCGCATCATCGCAATTACCGCGTCTTTCGCTTCCGAAGTTTTCCGGAGACTTCAATCAATGGGGAAACTTCCGTGGTTTATTCGAATCGCTCGTCGACTCAAACAAGTCGCTCACGAACATTCAAAAACTACATTATTTGAAAACTAATGTAACCGGTGACGCGGCACTCTTAATAGATAATATAAACATGTCCGACGAAAGTTACGAAGCTGCGTGGAAATTGCTCGTCGACGAATACGAAGATGAGACCGCTCTCATTAATTCGCACATTCATAAATTTATTAGTTTGCCGTCGATGAAGACCGAGCTTGCGACAGAGCTCAAGCGTTTGCGAGATACAGTCACTTCCTCCCTTACCGCGTTAAAAAACCTTAACCGCGCCGTCGATTCGTGGGACGATCTTTTAGTATATTTGATTGCGCAAAAATTTTCGAAACGCACCCGCGACGAATGGAATTTGCATCGTGGCAGTTCTAAGAAATATCCCACATATAAGGAAATTAACGAGTTCATGACTCTTCGCATACGCGGTCTCACCGACTATCTCGCCGCCAGCGACAGCCCGTCGTACAAAAACAAAGTCGTTTTCGACGCTTCTAGGAATCGATCAAGCGTCAATAACGTCTCGGTTGTTAAATGTGTTGACTGTTCCGGTGATCATATGCTCTTTAAATGCGAACGATTTAAAGCTAAGTCCCTGGATCAGCGAGTTTCATTTGTAAAGCAAAATAGACTTTGTTTTAATTGCTTACGTTTCGGTCACCTTACTTCCGAATGCAAAAGTACGAACCGATGCTTTCTGTGTAAGCGAACTCATCACTCGCTTTTGCATCGAGCCGCTACCTCTCTCAACAAGACGACTAGCAACGTATCGGTAAATGATTCCGTCGACAAAGCCAATGCATCCGACGCTACAAACAAAGAGTTTCCGGCGTCAGTGCAGACCGTCTCCTCGTCCAAATTCACCTCTCCGAATACGCTATTGGCTACCGCGTGGATAGTACTCCGTACCGCTGAAGGTCGTGCCTTCAAACTCCGCGCGTTGCTAGATCAAGGATCTTCCTTTAGCTTCATTTCCGAGTCGGTCTGTCAGTTAATGCGTACGAAAAGACATCGGGCGAGGCTTCAGATTCAATGCTTCGGGGAACAATATAGTGGAGTAGCAAAATCACGCGTACTCGTACAGTTAGAATCTTGCCATAATTCTAAAATATCCTTTCCGCTGTCCGCGCACGTTTATCAACGCATAACTTCTTACGCTGGCTCAAGAGCGCGCCTTGACTTACAATCTTGGCCGCATCTACGCGATTTGCCGTTAGCAGATCCCAACCCGTTAAGTGGCCACCCGATTCACGTCTTAATCGGTGCTGATCTATACGGATCGCTTTTACTGAACGACCTTCGCCAAGGTCCAGTCGGTACTCCCACTGCTCAGCTCACTGCCCTAGGATGGATTATTTCCGGACCAACTGGGCCACGTGACTCCCGTCAGGAATCTCCCTCTCTTGTCAATTGCGTATCTGCAGAAGAGTTAGATTATTCTTTGCGTCGTTTTTGGGAACTCGAGGAAGTCCCTTCAAGACCCTCGCTTTCCGAAGAAGACGAAAAATGTGAGCGTTTCTTTCACGATACTCATACTCGATCACCTCAAGGACGATATATCGTACGGCTCCCATTTAAGAGTACACCTCCATTCGATCTCGAAGGATCGCGGGAAGTTGCTTCCCGTTTTTACGCCAAATTGGAGCAGCGGTTGCTCAAACAACCGGATCTCGAGTCTCAGTATCACGATTTTTTATCGGAATACCTTTCCATGGGTCACATGGAACAAATTGAAGAACAAGCCTCGAACATCTCATCAATATACTACATTCCTCATCACCCTGTAGTGCGACCGTCCAGTAGCACAACTAAGCTTAGAGTCGTATTCAACGCGTCCGCTAAAGCTAATTCCGGACAGTCGTTAAACGACTACCTCCTGATAGGTCCAAAACTGCAGCGAGATTTAGCAGCTATTATTCTACGCTGGCGGTTATTTCGTTACGTATACACTGCCGACATCGCAAAGATGTTCAGACAAATCCTAATCAATCCAGCGGATGCCGACTATCAGAGGATATTATGGCGACCGTGCAGAGACCAGCCTATTCTTTCGTACCGATTACTTACCGTGACGTACGGTCTCGCTTCCGCGCCATATCTTGCTATTAAAGTCTTAGATCAATTAGCTCTCGACGAAGGCTCCAACCTTCCCGCCGCTACTCCTGTTGTGCAAGATTCAATTTATGTCGATGACGCTATTTTTGGTGCGGACGATATTCATACTCTCCGCGAAATTCGTAGACAATTAATCGAACTCCTGAGTCGAGGGGGGTTTTCAACTTCGCAAGTGGGCCGCCAACGCGGCTGAACTGTTAGAAAACATTCCTCCTTCCGACCGTGAATCAACTTCCGATCATCCGCTCGGTGAGGACGAGTCTCAGAAAGTTCTCGGTGTCACATGGAACCCTTCCGAAGATACTTTCCGATTTCGCATCGACTTTTGTTTACCCGCGAAAGGTACTAAAAGAAATATACTCTCGATCGTTTCAAAGATATTCGATCCATTAGGATGGGCCTCCCCCGTGATTATTGTGGCAAAATTAATGCTACAAGAGCTTTGGCTCCTAAATAAAGATTGGGACGACGAAATTCCTGCCGACCTTTGTAAAAAATGGCACGAGTATTGCGAACATTTATCACAATTAAGGGAAGTGAGAATACCTCGCTGGACCGGCGTGCGAAACAATAATGTCGCGATAGAATTACACGGATTTGCCGATGCGTCACATCGAGCCTATGCTGCCGTGGTTTATTTAAGAGTCCTTCACTCTCTATCCGAAGCTCAAGTTGCATTACTGACGGCAAAAAGTAAAGTAGCTCCGCTCAAAACCATAAGCATTCCGCGCTTGGAATTAAACGCGGTCGTATTGTTAACGCGCCTGCTCGAGTGGACTTTGTCCTCCTTAAAGTTTCAATCCCCCCGCGTCTACGGATGGACCGATTCTACGGTAGTTCTGGCTTGGCTAAAACAACATCCGTCTACGTGGAATACCTTCGTCGCCAATCGCGTGTCCGACGTTCAGACTCGTCTTCCGCAAATGACGTGGAAACATGTAAGATCTCAAGATAATCCGGCTGATTGCGCGTCACGCGGCATCTGCGCTTCCGAACTTGCAGCTCATAAGCTGTGGTGGTCCGGACCGGACTGGTTGTCTCGTCCGTCCGTGTTTTGGCCGGACCATAACCCTTCGAATTCAATCGGACAAAACACGCGAGAGACCGCGTTATCTGAATCTCGCAAATCATACGTTCACCACGCGTCTCCGCTTGTAGAATGGGACCTTCCTTCTCAATACTCGAGCTGGACTCGACTCCGTCGAGTTACAGCGTACATATTACGATTTACTCAAAGAACGCGTAAAAAACTAGTTCCGCTATCCCCGTATTCACGGTTGTTGACTGTCGACGAAATACGCGCCGCCTCTCTCTTTTGGATGTCCTATGTCCAAAAGAATCACTTTAACGCCGAACTTAAATTGCTAAAGAGCAAGATGCCGCTTCCAAAATCTAGCCCGCTCATTTCATTACACCCAGTCATCGGGAAAGACTCATTAATTCGGCTTGGCGGGCGGCTCGAGCACTCAGCTCTGAGCTACGACGAAAAACACCCCATCGTATTGCCGAAGCATCGCGTGTCCGAACTTCTAATCGACCATGTGCACAAGCGCACTCTTCACGGAGGCATCCAATTGACTCTCCGCGTTCTCAGGCAACAATATTGGATAATATCGGCGAGATCCTTAGTTCGCGGGTACATCCATCGTTGCGTAACTTGTGTTCGCCAGAAAGCTCAATCAGCTACTCAGCTGATGGGCGCCCTTCCAGACGTTCGAGTCAAACCCTCTGCTCCGTTTTCACATACCGGTCTTGACTATGCCGGTCCAATTAATATACTTCCAATCGTTGGTAGAGGTCAGAAAACCAGAAAATATTATATTGCGGTATTCATATGTCTTGCCACCAAAGCAGTGCATCTCGAACTTGTCGAGGACTGCACCACACCTGCGTTTTTAGCCGCTTTAAAGAGATTCGCCAGTCGCCGCGGGCTTCCCACGTTCTTGTACTCCGATAACGGTACAAATTTCCGAGGTGCCGATCGCGAATTACAACGAACCTTCCATGCTTTGATCGCAGATGCACCTCTCAAGAGTTTGTTGGCGACTGACGGAGTCACGTGGAAGTTTATCCCACCTGCCGCTCCGCATTTTGGTGGACTCTGGGAGGCGGGAGTAAAAAGTGTTAAGTATCATCTGAAGCGAGCAGTGGGAGCTCATACTTTGTCTCAAATCGAGTTCTCCACCGTATTGTGTCAAATCGAGGCTTGTTTGAACTCGCGCCCGATGTCCGCTCTTACCGACGAACCCACCGACCTGTCCGCACTGACTCCCGGTCACTTTCTTATTGGTCGACCTATTGTAGCGGTTCCAGAGGAATCTACGTTAGATATTAATCCGAATAGGCTCGATCGATGGCAGCATGTCCGCAGAATAAGCGAACAGATCTGGCGTTCCTGGTCAGCAGATTATCTCCACTCGTTACATCAACGTCGGAAGTGGCAACAGGAATGCGCCAACTTGCGTTTAAATGAACTCGTCATTTTAAAAGATAGTTCCCTTCCGCCATCTAAATGGCAACTCGCGCGTATCACTCGATTGCACCCTGGATCGGACCAAAGGGTTCGTGTCGTCACCATACGCACAGTAGACGGCGAATTGAAGCGACCAGTAACGCAGATCTGCCCGCTCCCAATTCCAGTGTCGAATGAGAGTGATCTAAACGCTGCGAAATAATTAGATTATACATATTCGAACCTCACTTTTGTGATCGTCTATAAGTTAATGCGTTGTTTCAAGCTCATTATATATTACTTGCTTATAAATTCCGTTAGTCATTAAGTCATAATATTATGTTACTGTTAATTATTCTATTCTTGTTCCTTCGATGCGCCTGTAAAATGTATGTCGCATTTGATTGCTCAGCGCTCCTAATGTTTGCGAACCAGTAAGTGAATTTCTCGACTTCTTCATTTACGAACTCATATAAACCGTTTCGCATCTTTCGAATGCGAGGCGGGCGGTCTGTTCAAATCACATATTCAAAGTCTTGGTGTAACCGCTGGCAGTTTGTCAACACGGTTTGACTTTAGTGTCGTTCCGCGACCACGCCTGAGTCTCGCCGTATTGTTTTTCTTACCCGGCCGGCGAATACGAAAATTTAACCGCTCGCCTCGCTCACAGTCTGTCTGGAAGTGCGAGTCGATTCACACCAAACAATTTTATAAACCAGGAGCTCGTCAGGCTCCTCCCGAAGAGGAAGCGAAGGGAGAAAAATAAAGTACGTTACAAAAAATTGATATACGAACTATCCTCAGTTCAGTGGGCCAGTTTTTTATCCTTCCATCGAATCGGTGTGCTAAACAAAGGCCGAGACGAAACACTAGGGGTATCTCACGAACCCGGTACACCTTTACCGCTCGAGGTGTACCATCACGACAGAGAGCAAGATCCTAAAACATCCTAAACCCCTACGTGGCTCCCAGGGTATAAAGCCCCTGGTTCGTCCACTCCTACTAGCGGCTCCCAGGGTATAGAGCCCCTGGTTCGTCCGTGAAACCATTCATTTTCCCTATAAATCTAACCCCGTGGCTCCCAGGGTATAGAGCCCCTGGTTCGTCCACGTAACCTCCACCTACGGCTCCCAGGGTATAGAGCCCCTGGTTCGTCCGGACCTCCTTTCTTTTCCTAACCATACCCAAAACCACCGGTCGATTACTGCCCCTCGACCGAATCCAGGATCTCGCGCTCCCGCTCGTAACAAGTTATATCCTATTAACCACTCTTTCTAGTTCAAGATTTTCAGGATAATCTTTCCGTGTTCGTTGCCTAAATTCATCCACGTGCCCATGTGCTACTTGCGTGAGTGAAGGCAACGGTCACGATGACTTAGTTTGTAAGAATTTATAATAATATACTTTATTAGCGGCTGACATTGCGTTAATGTATCGTGCACGATATACTTTTCACATGTGTGCATGGTTAGCCTGTGGAATTGCGTCGTTAAAAAATTCATTATAGTTTATAAATAAAATTCAATTTTGTGACATTTCTATGAATTGCAGTAACAATATCAAACTTTCATTTGCTATTTTCCCGATGATATACAGGGTGTCCAAAAAGATTGGGACCAAATTTATACTACGTGTTATTTAGGTCAAATAGATGGGAAAAGTTCATATAAACTTATGCCCGAAAATGCTTAATTAAAGAGAGATAAGCGTTCAAAGATTTACTGACAAAAATCGTCTTTATAGGATCACCCCAAAAAATTGATTTATTGTAGAATGCATTTACTATTATTTTCAATAGAGATGGAATATTTGAAGGAGTTCGACAATCTAATTCGACTAATTCATAAGTTGTACATAAGTTTATATGAACTTTTTTTATGCATTTAACCTGAGTAAGTTATAGTATAATATAAAAACTCAATGGTTACTAGGTTTTGTCAGTCGATATCAAGAAATGGTACGTAGACACCTTAGTGTGAAAATTGCTTGCAATGTTCGAGCGTCAGTGGATCCCTGAGGGCTCCTCCATCCTTTAGGCCGCAACCAAACATTATGTGTGAGATCGGTGGAGTGTTTTGTTTGTGTAAATGAGTTTTGCTATTTTCTAAATATAGAGTTAGATAGATAGGGAACTTACCTTCTAGTGTGTGTTGCTAGACTTAAGTAGGGAAAGCGTAGGGCTGTCACAATTCTTATTCGAATAGGCGTGTTTTCACGTGGCATGACCTACACGTGTAGTAGTATAGTCAATTTTGAGAGTCGAAATGATTGCTGATGCAAGCCGAATATACTATTTGTTTTTAGCTTTACTTTCGATTCTTTGAATCGCACGGCTTTAAAGTCGCTCTTGTGAAGAGTTGCCCTGGTCGAGATTTTCCACGTATTCTTTGACAACAATTCGTATATTGGAAAACTGCGTATTGCAGAGATTTTGAGCCTAGGCTTACATTTCAGGCTTAGGTAGGACCGTCTGAAGAAAGAAGAGGCCCTGACAAATACTCTCAAGAAAGGACTGCAACAAATGGCTCTTCATTTTTATCTTCGGAGGTAGATGAGGAGTTACTATATTTGTAATTTTTTCAAATGGAACATGTACCACAACATCTAGTATTGTTAAGCGAATCACAGTTTCCATTAGCTTTGCGAATTATAGATACTAATCACGTTGCAAGTTCCAAATAAAACGAATTTGATTGCGATTGTATATAATGTTCCCATTATTTTTTCACATTTCTTTCTCAGGGTAGTGTATCACGAAGCTGCTGTATTAGTTGGACGAGATTCTCCACAAACTGAGATAGCTACAATGAATTATTATAGGCAGGGTTGCGCATTATTTAACACGAATACGAGTGTATTCACCATACAGTTCACAGACGGCAGGCTTGTCCAGCATGCTCGTTTATACAGAATGTCTTGTTTAAGTGAGTACAGCAGGATATTTCGGAAGGAGTTGCAGCTATTAAAAAAATGTTCGTACAAAAGTTATTTCGTAGGACGAACTACATCATGTTGTACTAATTGTTTTCTTGTGGGTGGAGTGGTGGTGGAAATCTAGAGGTTAATCTAATTTTCTTAAATGGAATGCTATATTTTTTTCTTTAGAAAGTCATAGCAGACACTGACAATGAGACAAATCCAAAGAAGTGCTATACGTCATTATTCTGAGTTCGATAAAGGTAAATCGTTATCTTATGTTTACATACTGCATCAGTCGGTGGCCGATAACCAGCAGCCGCTGCTGAGCAACGTCAAATTCATGCGTATTAAATTATTCCCTACATGCTTCTTTCATTAATTCTTTCATGTTCGACAAATCAGGTTAGCAATAATCCTCAATCTCTGTTTATCATATCATAATTGCAGTAACTTGATATGAACTCAACCAATGCTGCTCAACAGCGGCTGCTGGCTGTTGGTCGTCAACCAATGTAGGACGTAAATATAAGCCAACAATTTACCTTTATCATATTCAAAATAATATCGTGTAGCACTTTTTTGGATTTGTCTCAGTATCTTCTGTTACTTTCTGAAGATAAAAAATATAACATCCCATTTAAGAAAATTAGATTGACCTACAGATTTCCTCCACCACTTCACCCACTAGAAAATAATTAACACTACATGATGTAGCCCTTCCTACCAAACAACTTTTGTACGAACATTTGTTTACTATCTACAACTCCTTCTGAGATATCCTGCTGTACTTACTTAAACAAGGCACCCTGTATATGAAAACCTTTAAACACAGTATCAAAACATCATCAGTTAAAATTTTGGCTTGTGCCCGGCCCATTGTAGTGTAGGATCATACGGACCATGGAATGACAAAACACGTTGATATTTTGAAGAATAAATATATTTAACAATAACGAAATAAACGATTACAGAATTACAGAAATACAGAAATGCCTTGAACTACGCTTCTCCACGTCTCGACGAGAACTGACTTATGCCGAACGTTTCTCGACCTCGTCAACTCGTCCGTTATTGCGACGCCACGGTATCGCTCGGGCCACCTGGGTCCGCGCGAGTCCTTTTTAGTCCCGCCGCCAGACATTAAACGCTGCCGCCGAACACTCGCGGAACGAAGGCACACGGAAACGACACAGCCGCGCCCGAGAGCTTATCCTTTACGCACGGCCCTATGATTCTCTCTCCTCTCTCTCGAATCATTCTAGACACGCACTGAACCCACAACCGGCCGTCCTGCTCGGGCATCGTCCTCGATACCTCCCCGCTTAATCTTCCAGATGGTCGTTAACATCCAGGGCGTTATCTTCATCGCTGTTATTAAATACCTCATCCAAATCGGCCAATCTCATTCATGGTTTCATTAGGTCAGCTGCTGAACTCGTTTTGTTTGGGCCCTCATGATCTCCCACCTTCTCTACAATGTATCGGTCGTTCCTCATTGCGCTCGTTACTTTGTAAGGACCTAAAAATTTCGGATGCAATTTCGCACCTGCCCCAAATTGTGTCCTTTGAATGGCTACAAGGTCATCAACTTTAAATTTTCCTGCTGGTTTCCTCTTCCTGTCGTACGTCTCTTATTCTCCCTCTGGACGTTGAGAATATTCTTCCTGGCTTCGTCTCGTAAATTAGTGCGCTTTTCCTCGTATACCTTAATAAATTCTTCTTCTATCAGCTCTCTTAACTGCTGGTCATCCTTCAACCTCATTTTCTTTCCAATCATTAGCTCAAAAGGAGTCATCTGCGTGCTTCTATTGAATGTTGAATTCATAAATTGTTGCACCTGATCCACGTGTTTCCACCATTCCATAGGATTGGATATCGCCATCTTGGTCAACATGGGGATGATGACGCGGTTCATTCTTTCAACCTGTCCGTTTCCCCTCGGAACGCCTGTAGTGATTAACACATGCTTGATGTTTTCCGTTGTGCAATACTCCTTAAACACATTCGCGGTGAATGCCGTTCCACGGTCCGAAATTATGCGTCTAGGACTCCCGAAAACGGTCGCCTGCTTCTTCAATCTATCGATAACTTCGTTTGCAGTCGTCGACTTCGTCGGGTAGATCCACACGAACTTCGTGAACGCGTCCACAACTACAAACAAATGGTTGTATGCTTTTCTCGTGGACGGCATTGGCCCTAGATGATCCACGTGATACGTGTCCAACGGTGTAGCTCCTTTCTCGATTGGATTTAGTAGTCCATCGTTCTTTCCGTATTTTCTTTCTGCCAACAAGCACTTGACAC